CTTGCCCTCTGGAGCATCTTCCACCCTCCAGCCAGCAACCATTTGCATGGAGCCGAGCACAACGTGGTGGTTTAGAGGGGAAAATGAGGCAGGGAGTGGTGATGGCAGCTTTACTCACAGCTGCTGGGGGACAGAGTCACCGGAGCCCCGGCGCTGGCTCTCACCTTGGGGAAGGGCGGCCCAGGCTGGGATTTTTTGACATCCCAGGGATGTGCTGAGCATTGCCTGTGGTCTGCCCACACTGTGTGTGCACCCCACACTCCTTTTTGGAAAGCCCCAGCTGGTGTTTCAGGCGAACCAGGGGTGAGGGCTGCCCCCTGCTTGGGCTGGGGGTCACCACGTGGGAGAACCAGGACGATGCTCCCTGTTGTCACAGGGATCACCCCGTGCTCGTCCCCGTGCTCCTGGGAGGGCGGGTGTGGACCGGAGGAGGGCCAGGCTGCCCATCCATATTTATGCCTGACATTAATTTCCATCTATTTCAATATTTTATGAGCATAACAATTAAAAAAAAAAAAAAAAAGAAAAAGAAAAAAGGGTTCAGCGCTCGTTGAGCCATAGAAATAATTGGGCGTGTATGGTCCTGGCGCGGTGCCAGGCGTGTCCATGCCCGGGAAATTGCCACAGCGGTGCAGGAACCCAGCTGGCCCCGTGTGTGAGGATGGGCAGTGCCTGCCCTGGGGCTCTGACACCTCTGGCTGTGGCCCCAGGTCCTGCAGGGGCTCTGGAGGTCCCCCCAGGGCAGCTGTCAGTGGATTTAATGTGGTGGTAGATGTAAGTGGTGCTGGGTACAGGCAGAAGGACGTGAGGGGACGCTGCTGGGATGGATCCTGCTGTGTTGAAGCTGATGGGAGAATAAGGTGGGGGTGGCAGAGGTGGATTTCCACGCAGGATGTGCTCCCTGTTGCTCCACCCAGCCCCCTGCAAAGGTCTGGGCATCGTGGCCACAGTGGGGGTGGGTGAGAGGGGGTGCAGGGCTGGATCCTGCCCTGTGAGGGGTCTCAACTTGTCACCTGCTTCTGTCCCCCAGATTCTGTGGCCTGCGTGGACCCCGAGGAGTGCACCCGTGTCTGTGGAGCTGCCGTGGGCTGTTCCAGCATCGCCTGTCCCAAGCTGGTGGTGGAGCTGATGCCCAGCGGTAGGTGGGTGGGAGGGGGTCACCCCATCTCCACCGGGCTCTGCTGCACACCTGGGGCTGCTGCCATGGCTTGGGTGCTGGGGGGACCCCATGGATGGTCTGGGTGGGTTTGTGTTGGGGGGAACCCCATGGATGGTCTAGGGGGGTTTGTGTTGGGGGGAACCCCATGGATGCTCTGGGGGGGATTGTGCATGGACAGCCCATGCAGCCCCTCCGAGGGCGGCTCCAAAGGCCAGGTCAGGGGATGTGGGTGATCCTGGGCCACAGGAGGGTCTCAGCATCCTGAGGTGCAGCTGGGGGTTCCCAACCCCCATCCTTGCCCCAGAGGAGATCCCAGAGAGTGCCTGTAGAGGGTTAGGCATTATCCTGGGGTTGTTTCTCTTAATTCAGCCACTCCCTGACACTTCCTCTCCTGCCCAGGGCTGCGGGGTCTGATGATGGTGGTGATGATGGCAGCGCTCCTGTCATCCCTGACCTCCATATCCAACAGCAGCAGCACCCTCTTCACCACGGACATCTGGAGGAAGCTGCGGCGGGGCCGGTGAGCGGGAGCTGCTCCCCGTGGGCAGGTACTGACCGGGGGTTTCGAGGAGACTGGGGGTTTCGGGGAGACTGGTGGGGCCAGTCCAGCCTGAAAAATGCCTGTGCTCAGCCCGGTTTATGCAAGGAAAACAAGCCCTTTGGATTATTTTATGTATGAAAGCCCTGGAAAAGCAGACGGTTTGGCCGGTGTGAAGCCCCTCCCCGTCGCCTCCAGCCCGTGTTCCCCCCGGGGAGCCGGGGCTGAGGTCACGCACTGAGCACACGGGGGAACTCGGCCGCGTGGCGAAGGGCAGCGCTGCCCACACATGCCCCGGCATCTCCCGTGGGATGGAGCGGTGCCCGCGGGCAGCCCGGGAACCCGCCCGCGGTGCCGCGCTCGGGGCGGCGGAGTCAGCGCTGGGGAATGCCCGGCACGGTGCCACGGGGCCGGGAGCGTCCCCGGCGCGGGGCAGACAATAACAGGGAGAGAATCTGGGTCAGGGCTCTGGCTGGGCTGCGCTGGGGCTGCGGGGAGGGCTGGCTGCTCTAGCGGCTGCAGGAACAGCTGTTTCTGGGCATCCTCCACCTCCGGAGGCTGGGAAGGGGCTGGGCAGCGATGCTGCGGAACGGTGGTCTCGCGTGCTCCCCCGTGGGAAGAAGGGCTCTTTCTTCAGGGCCTGCCTCGCCCCTCCCTGGCACTGGCTTCGCTGCCGGTGACAAGGGTGTGACAACGCAGGACAGCTCCGCCGAGGATGGATAATGAGTGTTTGCAAAGGGCTTTGCTCGCCCGGGGCGGGAGTCGCTGCTGCGGTGGATCCCGGCGCTTCATTAGCGTGATTAGCGCGAGCAGGACGCTGCGGATCGTGGGGACAGAGACAACGATAAACGCTTTGGAGAGGAGAAAAAAACCCAGCTGTTTAAGCTGCAAGTTTGATGTTTTCCTACCTGCCAGCATAGATAGAGACGGGGCAGCTTGGGGTTATTCCTGAGTAGCTGCCAGGGGGGCCCAACCGCCTCCTGGACCCACCAGGGTGGGGATGCCCCATCTGGGGATCGTGGAATCACAGAATGCTTTGGGTTGGAAGGGTCCTTATAGATCACATCTCCTTCCAACCCCCTTCCAGCACAGGGAGGAAAGGGGTTTGATTGTGGGATCGGAAAGAGCTCCCAGTTCCAGGACCGGGGCGTTGGAGCTCCTGCTGGGCCATGGTGCCTGGCTGGAAATCCCTGCTGGTGTTTGATGTGTGCTCCGTGCCCAGGCGGTGGCGTGGTGGTGGGAACAGCCGGTCCTTCCCAAATTCCCCCAGCGCCCTGCAAACAGGCTGTGCCAGCTGCTGCTCTCCATTCCCTGCCCAGATCCCCATCATGGGCACCTGGCACCCCCAGCTCCTGCCACAGGCACAGCTCCAGTGTTTTTCCACAGTCCTTCAGCATCAAGATGAGGTTGGACAGGGCTTGGAGCAACCTGGTCTAGTGGGAAGTGTCCCTTCCCATGGCAGGGAGAGGGAATGAAAGGAGCTTTAAGGTCCCTTCCCAGCCAAATGGTTCCACCACTCTATGATTTTCTCCTATGAATTTTTCTCCTCTGATTTTCTCTCTATGAATTCTCCCACCCAGTGGATCAGGGTGTGTATTTTACTCTCAGGCTGGTTCTCTTTTCCCCAGCACCTGGCAGCAGGTCTGGCCAGGGCTGCTTTCATTTTTTCTCTCTCTTTTTTTTATTTTTTTTTTTTCTCTTATTTTTTCCTACTTCTGCTTTTCGAGATGAGCAGATGGAGACGTAGGAAATTCTGTGAAGCTGTTAATAAGCCGGGCTGAACTATAAATACGACAGCTTTTGGGATGGGTCCTGCCCAGGCTTGGGCCCAAAATCTGGGGTCTGGCCAATGCCTTGGGCTTTGGATGAGGGAGATGCTGTGGGGTGTGGCTGGGATTCGGGCAAGGGTGAGGCCAGGGTGATGTTGGGGACTAACACACCCCTCTGTCACAGCCTGGCCAGGGCAGCTGAGCACGGGGCAGCTCAGCCCAGGTCCCCAGTGCTCAGCTGGGTGCCTTGACTGGACATGGGGACACTGAAACCAAGTCTGGCCAGAGCACCCAACACCTGCAGCTGGTGGCTTTTCATAGTGAAAGTGCCCTTTGCCTGGTGTTTCCCGTGGGGGAGTCCAATTTAGCAGCCCCCTGGGGCTGGGCAGGGGCCTGGCGAGTGCTCACCTTCCTGGAATGGAACCAGCACAGGCATAATTAGCACCCTCTGTGGCCCTGGGGATGTCACCCAGCAGCGAGTGTCCTCCCCCTGACCCACCTGCATCTCCTGCACCGGCACTGGGACCCTGGTTTTGGGGACCCCCATTGCCACGGTGATGCTGTAGCTGCTGAGATGTGCAGGTGGGACAGGAACATGGACATCACCTGCACCGCCTCACTGCCACTCACAGGGTGGTCACAGTGGTGCTGGTGGCCCTCAGCGTGGTCTGGATGCCCATCCTGCAGAGCTCCAGTGGTGGCCAGCTCTACATCTACATCCAGGCTGTCACCAGCTACCTGGCTCCTCCTGCCACTGCTGTCTTCATCCTGGCTGTCTTCTGGCCCTGAGCTAACGAGCAGGTACCATGGCTGGGGTGGCCCTGGGGACAGCTTGGGGACACGGGTGGTACCAACACCCCCCTGTCTGCCCTGCTCCCAGGGCCCCAGCAGGGCCTGGGGGGGTTGTGGGGAGGAAGGAGGAGGAAGGGAGGGGGCGATGCTGGAGGGGCTGGTGAGAGGAACTGAGCCTGGCTGGTGTTCCCTGGGGAGCTGGTGGGTGTCTGGAGTGAAAAAGAGGAGGAGGAGGCAGGTGCTGCCATGCATGGCCACCAATGGGGCTGGCAGGGGACAACCCCTGCAGAGGGGGGGCCAGGACTCAGCTGTGCCCCAACATCCAGGGGCCACTCAACCCTTTCCTAGGGCTGGCTGGAAGGAGCAGCTGCCAGGGGGGTTGTCGCTGCTGTGGGTTGACCATCAAGCAGTGGGGGCACGAGTTCAATGACAGGACCACCTTGGCAATGATCACACTCGTGGGCATCACCCAAACACATTTTACAGGCTCTAAATGAAAAAAAAAAAAACCAAACAACAACTATAAACCACACTTTGCAGCTATGAACAGCACCCACAGGACTGAAGCCCCCTGGATCAGCCTGCCCTGGCACCCTGAGTCCCTTCATCCTTCCATGGGGTTGTGGAGCTGCGTCCTGGCTGCCCGCAGCCCTCCCTGGAGGTGGGTGTTCGCTTACAGGGCCCGGAGAGGAGCCGAGGTTTGGGGCACACGTGCTCTCCCCCTCTGCTGCTGTCATCTGGGAAAGTTCTTAAGGCTGCGGGGTCCGTGGGGACGAAGGGACATGCAGACCGTGTGCGGGCACGAAGGGGCTCCGGTGGGTGTGGGCAGCGGGGCGGGTCCTGCCGCGCCCGCGGGGCCGGGGGAGGGTCACTTGCGGATGGGATGGACGTAATTCCGGGGGAAGAAGCCCACCCGGCCGTAGATCTTCCCCTGCCACCAGTTGGGGTCAGGGCAGTCCAGCACCTCGATGATGTCCCCGCGCAGGAAGGGCAGCTGGGAGCCCTCGTGGGCTGAGAAGTCGAACTGGGCTTGTACGAATCGGGGTCTCCCCACCTGGAGGGAAGTGGAGGGCAGAGGTTGGCGGGGGGAGAGGGGTCCCCATCCACCAGCCCCTCTGCACCAGGTTGCACTGTTTGGGTCCCCAGAGGGACAGGGACACTGTGCCACTGTGGGACGAGGACCAGCCTTGGGAGGTGTGCCTGCTTTGAGGGGAGAGAGGGAGGCTAGGGAAATCCTGCCACGGGAAGAGTGGAATGCTGGGGATGGCCCCGAGGGCAGGGAAGAGCCTGGGGTGCAGGGGAACATCCTGGGATGCAGCCACAGCCTGGGGCTCAGGGCAGAGCCAGGGATGCAGAGGAGCACCTTGGGGTGCAGGGGAACACCCTGTGGTGCAGGGGAACACCCTGGGGTGCAGGATATAGCCTGGGGTGCAGAGGAGCAGTGTGGGATGCAGGGAAGAGCCTGGCATACAGGGAGCACCCCAAAGCCCAAGAAACTCCCTGTTCCTGCTGCTGGGAGAGCCAAGATGGGTGCTCAGGGGACACCTTCCCTTTGGAGGCAGCTGGTACCCCTGTCCTTCCCAGGTCTTTCCCAGGCCCTCCTGGATGCTGGAGCCTCTCCCATCCCAGCTCCCAAGGTCCAGTTTTGCTGCCTCCACAACCACTGCCCCAGGGCTGTGCCCTGTCCCGGGCTGGTCAGGCACTGCCACCCGCCCTGGGCAGCGTCCCTGGCCCAAGGGTGGTGGCAAGTGCCCAGGGTGACCTGCCTTGCCCTGTTCTGCCCTGCTGAGCTGCTCTGGGGGCTTTTCCTCCCTGCAGTGCTGCTGCAGCCTCTCCTGCTCCACACTGGAGAACTGGGGGCCAAGTGTCCCAAGGATGTCCCTGTCCCACTCTGTGGGGATGCTGAGGCTGGAGGGGGCTCATGCAGGGGTTTGGGAGCAGCGATTCCATCACCCCACCCCCAGCTCTGCATGTCCCTGTGGCCCCATCCATGGCTGTACCTCCTGGGCCTGGTCCTCGTCCCGGAGGAAGATCTGCTGCCCTTTGGAGATCGTGGTCATCCTGTAGAAATCCACCAGCTCGTTGAGGGAATTGAACTTTTCCTCCCAGAGGAAATACTTGCCGTTCCTCTCCCGGAGCACCTTGAAGTGCTGGACGTGCTTCCCGTAGCTGTGGGAGGAGGAGGAGGGATGTTATCCTGGCCGTAGGATGCTGGCATCACCCAGACCCTCTTCTGGCAAGGTGAGAAAAGCCTGGTGGTGCTGAGTACACACCCCTTGGAGTGCACCTGGGGGTGCCGGGTTGGGGTGTCTGCACTGCAGGGACCTGTCTCCGCCAGGCCCCCGGGCAGGGGCAGGACCTGCCACGCTGGTGACGCTCAGCAGAGCTCAAATCCCTGTCATTATGGGCAAGAACCTCCCAAAACGCTTCAGTGGGGATTAGCAGTGTGAGAAAGTGCCTGGCTGGCCTGGACCCCACACAAGGGTGACCTGATGCCTCAGTCCCCAAAGCGGGGGCTGCAGGGACCCCCATCCTGCCACGCGTCCCCGGGCCACTCACTTGACGGAGATGGAGAACTCCCCCGGGGTGCTCTCGCTGTCGCGGATCAGGAAGGCTCCCACGTGGTTGCGTTTGAGGAGCTGCTGCTCTGCCAGCTGCCGGGAGATCCTGCCCGCGTACCACCTGGGAGAGACACGCTGGGCACCCCTGGACAGCCGGGGACACCCCAGTGCCACATCCCCCCCCCTGCAGGAGGGAGGCAGCGAGAGCCCCGCTGCCAGCAGGAGAGGGCTCTCCATAGGGATCCACATGGGGAGCTGGGACCCCCTCCAGCAGTTTCTCCCTTCCCTTCCCCTCCCAATTTACTGTGGGGGGAGGCAGCACAGGGTGCTGTGGGTGCAGAGGTGTTCCCACATCGCTGACGGCCGCGACCGCATCCTGTCACCTGCCCGGTCACGTCACGTGCCTCATCCCCCGACTTTGCTGCCTGTCCCCTCCTTCTGTGCCCCCTGGCCCCTCATGGGAGCAGCCCTTCCAGGTGTAGAGCAGAAAGCCCTCCACACCAGGATAAAACCCTCCTGCCTGCTTTGGTGGCAGCTACCAAAATGAGGTGGGGGAGCAGAGTGCCCATCTCCCATCCCTGCCAGGGCTGTATCTGGGCATTTTGGGCCCTCAGGCCACGGAGACCTTTTGCTACTTGTGCCATGAATGATCAGCCACGGGGTTCAGCACAGAGCATCTCCCAGTGCCAGCCCCGGGGATGTGCCCCAGCGGGATGTGCCCCAGGCTACCCTGAGCCCACGCGTTTGCTCTGGCATTCAAATGTGATTTACCAGGGGCTAATGATCCATAAAACACAGGTTAAATCAGGGGTGGATTACAGTGGGTTTTAATAACACGGTAATAGGATTGTGTCTAATGCAGTTGTAATCCCATAACTCTTTGTTGTTCCCCAATTATCATTTTTGTAGTGGCAGCCCGGTGTGAGGGTTGGATTTCGGTGTGGCGGGGGTACGTGGGTGTTCTGCTGCCTCCTGTTCCCTCGGGCTGTGGTGACAATGGCAGGCTGATTGAGCAGTCAGACCCCATCTCTGGGACTCAGTTTCCCCACGTGTGGGACTACCCTGGCTCGTGGCAGACCTTTGGGGATGGGGATGCACCGCTGGGATCGCTGCCTGGGGGGTGGGTGCTCAAGCCCCCCTTCCCCACGCCGTGGGATGGCACTTACGGGTGTGGCTTGACCTTGATGTAGTTTTTGGGGACGAAGCCCTCGCAGCCAAACAGCTCAGCCTTGTACCAGTTCTGGTCATCTTCCATGTTGAGGATCTAAGGGAGGAGAGGAACAGGGAGGCATCAACCAGCCTGGCTGCTGCTCCCCTGGGACCCCCATTGCTGCCCCAGACCCCACATCACCCACCAAAACCTGGGGAAAGGGGGCTCTGCCAACAGTGACATGGTCTGGGGGGTCTGGGGGCACTTGGGTGCTCCCCCCAGCCCTCCTTGCCTCCCTGTGGGTGCCAACAGCTGGGAAGTGCCTGGCATTGTCCCAAAACCCTGACAGTGGAAGAGGGTGAAACCTGTCCCTGGAGTAGCCGGCACATCCGCCAGGCCCCTCGTCCCCCCAGGATGGTGGCAGTGGGTGCCCCGTGGGAGGAAGTGCCCCAGTGTGAGCAGGGTGCTGACACCCACTCATGTGTGACACCATTTTCCATTGTCCCACGCAGGGGCTGGCACAGCTGTGCAAACAGGATCCGAAACCCCGGGCCACGGGCTGGGGCCACAGGGAAAACACGCCGGGAGCCAGGGACAGGCACGGTGAGTTTGGGACCCTGGGTGACAGCCAGACCATGCCCTCACCCCTCCCCGGGGTGGCTGCACCCATGGGGGGGCTGCAGGGTGCCAGGGGACCAGGAGGAGTTGCCAGAATTGCAGCATCAGCCCCATAAGAGCCTGTCCTGTTGCCAGTGCCTGGGTGGGCACATGCTCTCCTTCTGCTGGAGCCCTGCAGCCCCCAGTGCCTCAGTGGGGCAGGAAAAATGTGCTCCAGCCCTGGGGGGCTGCTACAGAGAACAGCTGGTGGCACCAGTGGCCAGGGGGCCCACATGCCATGTCCCAGCCAGGGATGTCCCTCTCTGGTGGCACAGACAAGCAGTACCCAAAATTCTCAAGGCTGGCTCCTTGTACCCCACAGAGAGCCCCAAAGAGGCAACAAAGCCAGGGGCCATGAAAGCACTGGTGTCACCCTGTGCCCCCCCTGTCCCCCCAAAAGCAACAGCATCCAACCCCCCCCCGTGGCTGGTGACCCCCTGCCCTCGGTACCTTCAGGGTGTCCCCTTTCTGGAAGGACAGCTCGTCCTTCTCGGTCGTCTGGAAGTTGTACAGAGCCACCGACTCCATGGCTGTCTCTGGGGGGGTCCGGAGGGGTCCCGGGGGGCTGCCTGGGGCTCAGCACCCCGCGGGGCTCTGGGGTCGGGGCCAAGCACACGGCGCAGCGGTGCCGGCGGGCAGGAAACCGCGCTGATGTCACTGCGCTGCCGGAGCAGCACACGGGCGGGCACAGCTGCCCAGATGTGCTGGGAGGGGTGGGGAGCTGTGCCAGCACACCTGGGTGCCAGGGGTACAAGGGGACGGCGTCCCCTCCGGTGGGTGGTGGGCAGCAGTGGGGCTTTGGATGGGAACAGGGCGGGGATGGGCTGGATGCAGGCTGAGGATGTTGGGAAGCGTGTCTGGAGAGCGCTGGCAGTGCTGGTGTGGGAGCCTCTGATGTCTTGCAAAGGCTCAGCTGCCAAAAGGTGGCTTGGTGGGAATGGTTGTTCCAGCAGAAAGAAAATCACGGAGGGTGGGGATGGCGGAGGCGGAGGGAGGTGGGCGGACGCACACACCTGGTTTCTTTGGAATTCGGATCCAACACGCCGTGTCCCAGCTCCGAGCAGTCGGATCTCAGCACAACTGTCACTGGCTTTTTGGGCTGTGTCCCTTTGGGGGGTTGATTTTTTTTCCCGGCTTTCTTTTGCAGGGCCGGGAAATAAGAAATCCCTTTTGGACTAAACCGACTTCCCGCAGCTCTGGTGGGCGTCGGGCACTGAGCGAGCAGGGCTCGCCCGCCGTGGATCATTCCCAGCGGGAAGGCCTCCGGCGCTGTGCAGCCTTCCTGTGTGTGGGCTGGGGCACGGAGCGTGTGGAAAATCTGCCAGACACTGGCTCGCTTTGCTGTGAGGAATTAAAGCAGGGACAGCTGCAGCTCAGGCCCTGCCCGTGGATTTGGGCGCTTTCCAGCGAGGAGCAGGACGCCGCTGCCATCTGCCCATGGTGGGATGAGCCGTGGTGCTTGCAGGGCCGCTGTGGGGACACGGGCTCGGTGATTCCCCTCCTCCAAACCTTAATCCCACTTCCTGACTATGTCTGAAAAGCAGACCCCATATAAGACCCCACTGAGGCCATTTTCAGGCTCTGATGCCCGTGGGAAGAGGAGAGAGATGTTTAGGGTGGCCCTGGGTGTCCCCACACCCAGTGAGGCCCCGGTCCCCAATGGTTATCCCTGGGATCTGCTGGTCCCAGGGGAAGCAGAGACACTGGGAAGGCCAGGAAGGTCAGGGAGGCCGTGGGAAGAGGCTCCATAGAAGCTCTGCTGTCACATGGAGGACTGGACTTGGTGCATAGCCGTGTCCTGGAGAGACCCAGGGGATGGGAACGCAGCAGAAAGATGACTCTCTTTGGGATGAGCTTCCCCTACCCCTTGGCAGCCTTGGCGAGGATGGAGATGGATGTTCCCTGGGGAATCCAGCCCAGCAGAGAGCCACTGCTCCATCCCTGCTGTGGCCAAGAGCCTGATCCTGTCCCTGTGTCCATCAGCCCAAACTGGATGACACGAAGTCCATTCCGAGGTGAAGGAATGGAATTCCATTCCCCTGGTAAGGAACAATAGGGCAGTGGGGGGGATGTCTGGGCACTGGGAGGGTTGGTGTGGGAGAAACCACACAGCCCAGGGAGAGGGGTTTTGGGGTGACAGTCCCTGAGCTGTAGGTGGACACTGGGAGCAGTCTGGGGGCTCAGCTTCCTGGGGCTGGGAGCAGGGGGGTTTGGGGGGCACCCCCGGGGTGTCCGGGCTGGAGCCATGGGTGGTGCCACACTGCCTGGGCGTGGGGCACAGGACAATGGGGTCACAGAGGGGTCCCCTGGCCTTGGCACAGTGCCGGACTCAGGACCGGAGCAGGATGGGATCCTGCCAGCAGATGGCAGCAGATCCCAGAGGGACACTGGGGACACTGGGGACACTGGGGACAGTGCCACCTACCCCTCCACTCCTGCTCTGAAGGAAGCAAGGCAGCCCTTCTGTCACCTTCAATACCACAGCCCCTCCCCGAGCCCCTCCCCTCACTCCATCCTTCCTGCTGCCCCAGTTGTGGTCCCTGTGCTGGGTCCAGGTCCCTCCTGCTCACCAGTGTGCCAGTGTGGTCACTGTGGGGGTGACAGCAGCACTCAGGAGTGATGCCAGAGCAGCCCCTTTTCTGGGTTGGCAGCGAAACACTCCCATGTTCTGGTTTCTGGGTGCCTCATCCCAACTCTGCCATGGAGCAGGACAGGATTCCCTGATCCCAGGAGGGCAGGAGTGCCCAGCGAGGTGTTTGGTACCTGTGCAGCATCTGCTGCTTCCAGGGAACCCCTGTAGGGAACCCCTTATGCTGGTGCTGCAAAACATGAGATGCCTGTCACATCCTGTCCTCCAGCTGCGTCATTCCCTGGCAAAAACCCCTTGTGCCCGCTCCAAATCCGCCCCGTGCCATGCTCACCAGCCCTTGGGAGAATCCTGGATCCCGGAGATGCCCGGCTGCCAGCTGTGCTGCTGAGCCCTGCAGGCTCCAACTGGCAGCCAGTGGTTGACTAACCACAGGCCTGAGACATCCAAGAAACATCAAAACAAGGGTTTGGGGTTTTTTCCACCATCTTCCCCCTTGTGCCTTGTCAATCAGCTGTACTTTGTGCAGCACACCCTGTACTGGAGCGGGGCAGAGCCTGTCCCTGCAGTGCCAGCCGTGAGCTGGTGCCTGGGATATGGGACCATCTGTGCCCCCATCCCCGTGCCCTGAGTGCCCCCAGTGCCCAGAGGGACACAGGAGGTGCCACGTGGTTGTCACTGGCCGGGTGTCAGAGCCTGCAGGCCGAAGCAGGGTGCTGAGCATGGGCCCAGCCTGGCAGGAGATCCCAAGGGATCCCAGGGAGGTGCAGTGGATCACCCGAGGGCACGCAGCAGTGGGTGGGAGCCCACCTCACCCACCTCATCCTGGGTTTAATCACCATCCCACACTGCCTCTCCCTCCACACAGGGGAATTCCATGACCCTGGGGACAGGCAGAGGAAGGTGCTGGGGGCTCTGGCATTGTCCTTTCCCAGCTGGATGGCTGCTCTGGGCACTGGGAGCTGCCTGGAGCTCCTGCTGACTCCCTGGGTTGCCCAATCTGCCCAGCCCCTGTTTCATCAACATCCTGTGTTTACCTGGCTGAAAAATCCCCACTCTGGAGGGAGGAAGAGGAGGGAGGGGAGCCTCTTCCCCTTCCTCTGGGGGCCTGGGGAGCTTTGTTATGGGCTCCTCTCGGGCCAGTGCCCCTGAGCTCTGTGCTGTGCCACCAGCCCTTGGTGCTGTGTGGGGAGGACAGCAGAGCAGGGGGTGTCTCAAGCCTGGCTTTGCCTCCTGAGGGGCAGTGAGCTGGGCCTGGATGGTGCAGGGCTGGGCAGGATGAGCTGCCTCGTTCCACAGCCCCTGGAGTGAGCAGGGAGAGGGACAGGTCCTGCCCCATCCCACAGCACTGTGCCAGGGGTTGGGAATGCTGCACAGCCTGGATTTGAGCCCTTGCCTGGATGCTGTATGTGGATAAATCCAGGCATGCAGGTCAGCAGAGGTGGCACTCATAGCTGCCTGTGTGCCTGGGGACGGGATCAGCCCTCGGGATGGGGATCCGGATGTCTGGCGAGGGGGATCCGGATGTCCCTCGAGGAAGTGGGTGCCCCATTGAGGCCCCACAGGGACAGGAAGCAACATCCTGGGCTAGAAAATGCCACGTCAGCGCCTGCAAACAGCATTTCAGAGTCAGCACTTTCCCCCTGGAGCAGAGGCCGCGTCGGTCACTCCTGAGCGTCAGATCTTCCGCGGAACCCCATTTCTCTGCAAAGCCCAGCCCACACCAAGGAACTTGTGTCACCATTTACACCCTGGTGCAACTGAGTACGGAGGATCAGACCCCTCTGAAACTCTCATCATCCCAGAGGACCTGCAGGAAAACATTTACAGGAGGGGCAGCCAGCAGACCCGAGGCCAATTGGCCCAGTGTGGCCCTGAGAGGCTCCTTGAGTGCTGGTGGCCTCCAGATGTGGAGCTACATCTCCTTGGGGTCAACATGGATGGTTGGGGCTGGGAATCATGAACTCTCAGGTGTGGAATTCAACCCTAAACTTGCAGGAAGGGTCACTGAGAGGGCAGCTCATCCCAAACAGCCTCCTCAAGAGGGCTGCAGCCTTGGAGGGTGGCTGGGACCAACCTCCTGGGAAGGGGCCAAACACGGAGCAGCCTTTGGGGAACAAACATTGGATGCTTCCTGGGGGGCTCCCAGAGCTCAGTTTTGGACTGATGGATGTGAGCAGTGCTGGTACCTGGCTCTGGGGACAGGTGAGGCCTCTGTTTTGGCCCAGGGCATGACTGGGAGGGGAACCCATCAGAGGTCAGGATCAGGTCACACAGGTGTGAACAATTAAAGAGTTAATCACCAGGGCCAGCATCAGCTGAAGGGTATTGGCCTCCCTGGGCCCTATAAAAGGAGATGGAGGGCAGCAGTTCTGTTTGGGCTGGTGAGCTGGGGATGGTCTCTGTTCTGGCAATGGCTTGGAGGTGATTCTGGGATCCTGTTGCTCCCTGAGATAGTTCCCCTTGGCAGCCTGGCACACTGAGAGGAGAAGGTGGGCAGTCCCTCTGTACAGTGTCCTCTCTCCAGCTGGCTGTGGCTTCCCTGGGTGTGACCTGGAGAAGATGGAGCTGTTCAGGTCTGCCTGGACCAGGTACTTGGTGTTCAACTGGCAGTAGATCTTGTGTGCTCTGTGTCTAGTCCTTGGATTTTGCTGCTGTCCCTGACACACCTGGGGGTAACTGGGACCTGCTGGGTGCCCTTGTCCAGGTCAGGCTCTGCTTTATGCTGTGTGAGGAATGTTTTCTGCTGAATCCTGCTCTTGGAATGTCTGATGGAGGTTTCTGGGGGGAGCAAGTGCTGTAATGTCTGGTGTCCAATCTTCATCCTTAGTGTTGGGTTGCCTGTGCTGGTTAGGGGGAAGGCAAGGTCCCCATACCCAAATTTCCTGGCTGGACTGGTGCTGCAGCATGGATGGGAGTGGGGGATTCTCTGCCATCTCTTGTTGGTCCTCAGAAGCCATTCCCAGATGGCTGAGGCTGGAAACCCCCTGTGCTTCGTGCTGTGAGCACAGCATGGAGGTGGAGAGA